CAAGTGCTCAGATACACGTTCAGGCTGAAGTTAAATAAAATGAAAACAAGTCCATGAGAGCCAAAATTTGACCTTGAATATATCTCACTTGAATGTAAAGATCATCTGAAGAACAGATTTGATGCATTCAACACTAACTACCGAAGACCAGAAAGTTGTGGGATGACATTAAGAACATCATGCAGGAAGAAAGCAAAAAGCCATTAAGAAGACAAGGAAAAAGGAAAAGGCCAAGATGGATGTCAGAAGAGACTCTGAAACTTGATCTCCAGTGTAGATGCACTAAAGCAACTGGAAGAAATGAGGAGGTAAAATTGCTGAGCAGAAAGTTTCAAAGGCCAGCTTGATAAGACAAATTCAAATACTATAAGAAAATGTACAAAGACTTGGAGTTAGAAAACCAAAAGGGAAGAATATGTTCAGCATTTCTCAAGTGGAAAGAACTGAAGAAAAAAATGCAACTCTCAATTTGAAATACTGAAGGAGTCTATGGGCAAAACATTGAAGGATGCAGAAAGCATCAAAAGAAGATGGAAGGAATACACAGAGTCGCTCTATGAAAAAAGAAATAGCTGCTATTCAACCATTTCAAGAGGCAGCATATGATCAAGAGCCAATGATATTGAAGGAAGAAGTCCAAGGTGCATTGAAGGCATTGGCAAAGAGCAAGACTCTAGGAATTGATGGAATACAAATTGAAATCTTTCAACAAACTCATGCAGCACTGGAGGCACTCACTCATCTATACCAAGAAATTTAAGAGACAATGACCTGGCCAACTGACTGAAAGATATCCATATTTACACCCATTCCAAAGAGAGGTGGCTCAATGGAATGCAGAAATCATCAGACAATATCATTAATAAAGCATGCAAGTGAAATCTTGCTAAAGATAAGACAAAAACATCTGCAACCATACATTGACAAAGAAGTTCCAGAGATTCAAGCTGGATTCAGAAAAGGATGTGGAACAAGAGATATCATTGCTGACGTCAGATGGATCTTGGCTGAAAACAGAAGACTACCAGAAGGATGTTTCCCTATGCTTTATTGACTACACAAAGACTTTCAATTGTGTGGATCATGACAAGCTACGGACAACATTGCAGAGAATGTGTATTCTGGAACATTAAATTATGCTCATGAGGAACTTGTACAAAGACCAAAAGGCAGTTGTTAGACCAGAACAAGGGACTGCCATATGGTTTATAATTAGGAAAGATACATGTAAAGGTTATATTCTTTCACCATACTTATCCAATCTGTACGCTGAGCAAATAATCTGAGAAGCTGGATTATATGAAGAAAAATGTGGCATCAGGATTGGAGGAAGATTTATCAATAACCTGTGATATGTAGATAATACGACCTTGCTTGCTGAAAGCAAAGAGGACTTAAAATACTTACTGATGAAGATCAAAGACCACAGCCTTCAGTGTGCATTGCATCTCAATGTAAAGAAAACAAAGATCCTTACCAGTGGGTCAATAAACAGCATCCATATAAATGGAGAAAAGATTGAAGTTGTCAAAGACCTCATTTTGCTTGGGTCAACCATCAACACTCATAGAAATAGCAATCAAGAAATCAAACATCATATTGCATTAGGCAAATCTACTGCACACAACCTCTTTTAAAGTGTTGAAGAGCAAAGATGTTAGTTTGAGGACTAAGGTGCACCTGATCTAATAACCTCCTATGCATGTGAAAGTCGGACAGTGAATAAGGAAGACTGCAGAAGAATTGATGCATTTGAGTTATGGTGTTGGAGGAGAATATTAACAGTACCATGGACTGTCAAAAGAAAAAGTCAGCCTGTGTTGGAAGTAGTACAACCAAAATGTTCCTTGGAAACCAGGTTGGCTAGACTATGTCTGTTATACTTAAGTCATATTATCAGGAGGGATCATTTCCTGGAGAAAGATATCATGTTTGGTAATGTGGAGGGCCAGAGAAAAAGAGAAAGACCCCCAGTGAGATGGATTAGCATAGTGTTGGCAACAGTGGCCTCAGCCTTAGCGAGGATTGTGAGATTGGCACAGGACTGGGCAGTGTTTCATTCTGTTGTGCATAGGATAGCTATGAATCAGTGCTGACTCGATGGTACCTAACAACAACAACATTGTAGATTTACTAATTTAGTACCACAATTATAAAAGAGATTCCGTTTCCATTATATCTTTTTATTTATTTTCCAAATTTTACAAGTACATAGCAATTATCTTGTTTCTTTCTTTCTTTAACTTCCTCTTTGATCTGTCTGTAACAGCTCTTAGAATTCCTTAAAGCGGTGTCACTTTTATGCAAGTCTTTTCCTTTGCTTTTCTTGAGACTTTTCTCCTGGATCAAAGAAAATGAAACCAACAAACACGTTAAAAACAACAACATAGACATGGAATAAGCATATATGTTCTGCATTATTTAAGCCAGCTGATCACCAACTTTGGTAAAAACCATAATCCTTGTCTAATAGTTTGAGTAACTCTTGTGCTATGAAACACTAAGTTTCCTGGGTAGAATTTGAGTAAATAACTTTCATAGTTGCTATTCTCACCCTTGGAGTCCTGGTGTGGTGCTGCAGGTTAATGTGCTGGATTTTAATGTTTGTTTGAACTACAGAGTCGGCGGTTCAAGCTCACCAGCCATTCCTTTGAAACCCTATACAGGGTCACTATGGGTCGGAACTGACTTAGCAGCACTTAACAACAGTCTCACCCTTGATCTCCATGGCATTTATCAAAGCAGTCCATGGAAAAGGTAAGAAAAGCACAGACATTTTTAAACAATTCTTTCACATTCTGTATCATTTTGAAATCCCTTTCACTTTCATGTTGTTAAGTGCCATCAAGTCAATTCCGACTCATAGTGACCCTGTACAGGGTTTCTGAGGAGCAGTTGGTGGGTTTGAACCACTGACCTTTTGGTTCACAATCAAGTCCTTCTATCCTCAAGAACCACACAAGGAGTCCCTTTCCATACCTGTTATTTATTCTCCTTTCTCAACACTTTCATCCCAGTGAAACCAGACTGACTGAATTTCACACACAACCCAACAGGAGTACTTTCCTTTAGATAGACTGTCATCTCTGCAAGGACATTCTTGTCCTCCAGGTGGTCTTCCCCATTTCTTCGGTTTCTCAGGGACTCATCATGTCTACAGCTAAGGGCCATCACAGCCAGTTCAGGGGTACTCACTGAACTGGGAGTTGCCAAGGAATGAGGGGTACGAATCTGGTGTTTTGGTGTGCATGTTAGTGAATAAACATCAGAGGTGTCTATAGCACACTATGAAGGGAAGGCAGAGGAGCTCTAATTGGTATAGGTGAGGAGAGCTGGTGTGTAAGATGTAGAGATTCTCAGGTGGAGCCTGGCATCACTGTGGATAGGGATTGAGCTGCCACAAACTCAAAGTACTGCCATGAAATGTAAACAGCCCAGGACTGGGCCTGCCCCAGGAAACAGTCCCAACTGTTTTGCCTTCCTTCTCACAGACCACAACACATAGCTCCCAAAGAAACATCTAGACGTTTGACTCACTCATTTTCCACCTCCTGGATGGTGTCATGAAGAGGCTTATTCTTAGTTTCAGGGATGAGAAAAACAACAAAAAAAGACAGGATGGGGAAGACGCCATAGATGATCCAGGGCAGGGGAGCAGAATACATCGCCAGAATCATCACAAGAGGAGACAGGGCTGCCCCAGTACTGCTGGCCATTAAATTGATTCCTGAAGTTCTTGCCCTTGAATTCAGCAAGACAAATAAATCTGGTAACATCAGCACATGAAATTTTGTTCTATTATTTTCATTATAGCAGAGTGTTGGAGTATATGGAGACCGATTGCATTCTCTTGTTTTTGAAATGTGTAGTCTTATTTGCTAGCTATTGTTTTCCAGCTCAGAAGTTCATTAAGATACATTTTGTTCATTAAAAAAGAAGAAGAATATCCATTACACCTACCCTTGCAAGGTTCAGAAGATTAGGTGAGATAATGTATTAAAGAACCGTTGAAATTAACCAGCCATTCCTCCGAAACCCGGCAACTGACTCAACAGCATGCAACAACAACTGCAATAGTACCTGGCCAGAAGTCAACTTTGAGTGAGTTTGACTATAATTTATTATAGTGGTTATTGCTATTACAGGTATTACTTTTGTATAATTAACTAGTCTCAATTTCCTTCCCTCCATCAGTGCCAATTCTCTGGTCCAGATCTCTTTTGACCCTGGCAGGATGTTTGGTACCTGATGAGCGTGGGGAAGAGTTCACTGAAGTGAATGCTGGCACAAGTGCTGCTGGCAGAAGCAGCGCCAATTCCCAAGATTGCCAAGATCACACGGAAGGTCTGCATTTCTAGACAGAGGGAGACCAAGGAGATCAGGAAATCTGAGAAGAAGGAATCAGTATCCCCAAAATATCATAGGTGTTTGCAAATCTAAAAGAGATTTTCTAGAAACTGCACAGAGATAGAGTATGTGGAGTGGTTGATGTGCAGAAAAATGTGACTTCTCTCTCTATCACAACTTAAACACTGTGATGACGGATAGTATGTGTTAACTTGCTAGGCTGGGATTCCCCAGGATTTGAACAAACACCACACTCGTTGCTGTTCCATATTGCAATCGCATGCAATACAATGCAATCACTTTGCATAATGTAAGGTCATAAATTGATGGAAAGGGGAGTTTCCTTGTTATATGGCCTGTCTCCATAATAAAAATATTAATTTTGGCCGAAGTAATCTCTCTCTGGACTCTGAATTCTTCCTGTCCCTTGACCTCTGAATCTTGGGACATGAGTCAGCAGGACGTTCCAATCTGCCACTGGACCTATGGATTTTAGATTGCCAACCTCTGCAACTGCATCAGCCAATCATTTGAAGTCAATCTCCCCGTGTATATGAAGGGCCTTTAAAAAGGTTCAAGGAGAAATGGAATTAAGAGACAATGGAATTTTTCCAAGAACTTTTTGAAGTCATGTATACATGGAGTCCTGGTGTGGCACTGTGGGTTAATGTGCCAGACTGCAAAGCCATTTGAACTGCAAGGTCAGCAGTTCAAGCTCACCAGTTGCTCCTTGGAAACCATATACAGGGTCGCTATGGGCAGGAACCGACTTGATGGCACTTCACAACAACAACAACAACAACAACAACATATATACATGTATCTCACTAGTTCTGTTTCTCTAGAGACTCCTGAGACAAATAGTGCATAAAAATGCTTTCGTTACTGCACCAACTTTCACTGCATAGTCAAGATTTTCCAGAGGAATTGGGGGCGGGGGGAATGTGTCTGCAGGAGTCTCCTTACACTCTTTTGCCTGTTGTTGTTGTTAGGTGCCATCAAGTCGGTAACAACTCATAGCGACCTTATGCACAGCAGAACGAAACACTACCCAATTCTGGGCCAACCTTACTACTGTTGCCATGCTTGAGTCCATCGATGCTGCCATCTCGTTGGGGGTCTTCCTCTTTTTCTCTGACTCTCCACCTTACCAAACATGATATCCTTCTCCAGCAACTGGTCCCTCCTGACACTATTCTGCCAAGTGCCTCCTATAATCCTACTACAGAACATATGAGAATCATGGGCAAATTCTGAGAAGTTAAGACTTACACACGTCCTTGAGGAGTTTACACGTAGGTGTACATACAATATTGACGGAGGCAAGTATTACACAAGAGAATAATTAAAAGAGAGGATTTGAGTGCTAATGAACTGGATGAAGAGACTTAGAATAATGTTTCAACAATTAACAACAAAGAACTATACAAAGAAAGAAAAAAAAAATCAGATGTTGTGAACCACAGGAGGGAAGTTTAAGAAGAGCCCGTTGTCTACCCATTTTTAAAAACTTTCATGAGAGCTTTGTAACATTGGAGTGAGGTCTAGTGTAAGGTGAGTGATTATATCATTGTTGGTATTCAAAAGAATTGGAGTCACCATCTGGCCCTGTAAAATACATAATTCAGCTGGAAGATACATGAATCTTGGTGAGAAGTGGGTGCTCCAAATATTACATATGATCATTTTATTTTTAAAAATTTAAGTTCTAAAAAGTTCTTAATATGCTGGCACCTTTATTCCTCTTTATTACTTCTTGATCTGAGACAGAGGATTTTTATTTTTTTGAAGTCAAACAGAAGTCTTGGTGTGGTACTGTGGGCTAATGCACTGGACTGCAAAGTTGGTTTGAATCACAAGGTCACAGGTTCAAGCTTACCAGCTGCTCCTTGGAAACCCCATACAGGGTCACTATGGGAACTGACTCGACGGCACTTAACAACAACAACAACTAGCCAAGTTTGCAGTCATGGTGATCTAGTGCAAAAGTGAGCGCAGCGATCAGGGAGTAAGTTGTATATGAAAGCTGTTATAATGAAAGTCCAGAAAAGGAAGTGATAGCACTATCTCTTCATTCCAAGATGCAGTAGCAAGGCCTGTCTCTCAATGATTGTTATTAAATGTGTGGTTGGACAAAGGACAAGTGGTCAATTGCAGCTCGAGAGAAATGTCAGGAAGACATGGCACTGTTTTCCAGATAGTTCTCAGGGATAATGAAGACAATCATATATCTGGGCTGGCTCTTGCTCTCCATGGCCTTGTTTCTCAATAACGTCATTACAGAATCTGTCCATAACATACAGATTGACTCAAAAAGATTATTACGCTCCTTTTCTTCTGGCTTCAGCCAGATGTGAAATTACAATCCCAGAGCCAGGGTGAGAAGATATATTTCTCACAAATCTATTCTTTTTTTCTCACCTTGAGGCACAAATATAATGACCAGAATAGAAGTACCCAACAGGAACATGAAAACCATCTGGCTTCCTTGACGGCCAATATGTTTTATTGTCAAAAGTGCCGGACCTCGGACTGCAAGGGAAACTACACCAAAAAGAACTTGGAACAGGAAAACGTTGTTTCCCAGGTGCTGAAGGTTGAACAACAGGCCAAAAATGGCTATAGTGACTGAAAATCTGCATTGAACAAAACAGAAAAGACACATTATATTACTTAGAACCTATGTTTGGCAATTGACCCAGTCCAGCATGGTTGGTTATAAAGTATTAAGGCCCAGTTTGTTTTGCAAACTGTTTTCTTCCTGGATGATGATTTCAAGGTTGTCCTAAAATAATTGTATGATAATAGAGATCAAAATTGTTTTGTCTTGTGTATGTGTAGTATGAATAATATGTTGTGGAGGATACATGATAGGACATCGTAAGAATGTGAGTGTAACCCACTAAACAGTTTTCATCTTGTCTAGATGGGTCTGGTGGAAAGAGATGGGGACAGGATTCCTTTGATTCAATAGTAAGTAAATGTTATCATAACTAATTGTGATTGTCACAATTGTAAAGATAGAAGTTGTGTAACAAAAAGAGGGCAGTAGTGAACCTGACATTCCAGGAACAGAGGACCCTAGGACTATCAAGAGAGAAGAGCATGAGCGGAATGTGGGACCCTAACCAGAGAGGCAGTGACACCAGAGATGGAAGCGGAAGTGATGGCATGGAGAGATAGAGCAGCTGGGGACTCTAGACTCATGGAAAGAGAAAGGCTGTGTGCTGGCAGCCAGATGGCTGGCTTGCAGAATGTGCTCTTTGATTGTTTAAATAATTATATATTCCTGTATGCTTTTTATGTACATAAAAAAAAAGAGAGAGAGAGAAATAGAAGTAAATACTGTTAACTGATGATGCATAGAGGGGATTGTAATCATAGCAATGAAACAAAATACAATTGGTTGAGTGTAATACCAATGTTCTGCCATGTAAACTATCACTAAATTCACGATAAAGGCTTAAAAAAATAATAATTTGAATGTTTCTATACCTTTATCGTCCTGATGTGGTGCTGTAGAATCAGCACTGGACTGTAAATCACAAGGCTGGTGATTCAAATCCACAGTCAGTCCTTGGAACCCTCCCGATATAGGTTCATTATAAGCCAGAACTGACTCGATGACACTTAACAACAACAATATATCTTTATCTGGTAATTGGTTGCATATTTATATATAGAAATACTAATTGAGCTGTATATTTTAATACACTTTACTGTCTAGGTTTTTTCTAAATTAAAATGGAAGCAAAAATGAAAAAAACTTAAAAGTCAACCATGATTAGCATTCTCAACATCAATCTTCTGAGATGAATGAGCCCTAGAGGTTGATGTGACGTACTAACTCCTCATTGGATAATTATCTCTTGGGATCATCCCATAACACTCTCACTAACTCCAAACACAGCAACGCTGTTGTATGTTATCCCTATTATTTATCTTAAGTCTGTCCCCCACAACATTGTTGTATCCTTTGAAATCAGAAAAATCACTGTTTTCACATTTCTCATGGACTGTGTGAACCTTACTTCACAAAAGATGTGAGGCAGATCCATTTTCTCAGGATGCGAGAGGAGAACAAGTCGCTCAGAGAAGGTTTGATCTGTGCTGCCTGCAGTTCCTCCTCCATGGTGGATTTCAAAACCTGCAACAACAAACCTTTATCAGTTGCCATCAGATTGGCTGGAGGAGGACCACTGAGCACCCAACAAAGAACAAAAGAGCCAAGCTCTTTTCATGAAATCTCAACATGAAACCTGCATCTACCTGGGAAAGTGCCATTAAGGAATTAAAGGCTCCCCAGGAAAACCATGCACTGAGTAGACTATTTAAAATAAGGACTAATAAATTTGCAAGGCATGATAAAAGGGTACAGAAGTTACACATTAATATCAGGAAGTGAAACCAAATGATGAGTTTGTTGGATTATGGACCAGATTCCTTCATACTAGCTGAACATGAAAAATTTGGAATTGAGTTTAGTTCTCAGCTTGGTAGCAAATTAATTTGTCTCAGAAAGGAGGAATATTTCTTTATAAGCTTTGATTTTGTTCTTAGCCCCTTTCAGTCAAATTCTGGTGTGTGTGTGTCTCCATGAAGTAGATGCCCAGAACAAAATCTTAGGTCCAAAGCAGAGAGATCTTGGTATAGTATATAGTCAGGTATATCCAGACCTAACTACACCCTGTTGCTATAATATGCCTCTGTCACTTGCTAGGTAGTTCCCTTGAAGAAGGTAAGATATCTGAGCCTTAACTTCATACAGAAGAAGGATAGGAAGAGAAGATACAAGAGTAGCAATCGTCTCATATGCAGGTGAAAGTTGGACAATGAATAAGGAACACTGAAGAAGAATTGATGCATTTAAATTATGGTGCTGACCGAAAGTACCAGATATACTATGGACTACCAGAATAATAAAATTGTCTTGGTAGATGCAGCCAGAATGCTCCTTAGTAGTAGGAATGGTGAAACTTCATCTCACATCCTTTGGACATGTTATCAGGAGAGACCAGTCCCTGGAGAAGGGCACCATGCTTAGTAAAGTAAAGGATCAGCAAAAACGAGGAAGACCCTCAACAAGTTGGAATGACACAACCATGAACTCCAGCATGGCAATGATTATGCGGACCAGGCAACCTCCAAGACTACCACCTATCTGTCAGTTTGTTGTACTTTGGTGACTTACACGTTGCTAACATACTGGAAGCTATTCCAGAAGTATGTTAAATATTAGCAGGGTCGTCCATGGTGGGGAGGTTTCAGTGGAGCTTGCTGACTAAGATATTCTAGAGTGAAAGGCCTGATTATCCACCTAAAGTATCCAATGACAACCCTATGAAGATCTCTCTCCCTGAGATGGTGACAGGTAGTGGATGGTAGATCATGTAGTTCAGCATAATTCCTAGATAGAAACATGCTTTCATCTGATAGCAGAGAAATGAAATTTCAACAGACCAAAACTAGATTGGAATCTCCCTTTTCTAGACTGAAACTTGTATATGCTGTAAACCCTGGATATACAGTTGATGACTTTTTCTCTTATGCATGAATGTAGACAATCCTTCATATTAAAGATGGAAGATGACTTCTCTCCAGAATCAATCAACTGCCATAGAATCAATCAACTTGTAAACATGTAAGAGGTGGCAAAAGACAGCGTAAAAGATTTCTTTCTACTATCATTCTTTTATATGTATATTTAGATACCATGTTTTGTTAAAATATTTTTTCATGTTGTATACAAACTGAACTTTTGAATTAAGTCCAAGAATACCCTCAGAATGATGCTCGAGTTGGAAGGCACAGTATAAACACAAATTACTACAAATCACTGAAATAGAAAAAGATTGTAAGTTGCTTTTAATGCAAAATACTTAAACTAAATTCAAAGCATTACGCTATTATTAGAATACCTAGTTTGACACTTAATTTCCTCCCCCCGCCCCCCATTGGTCTTCAAGCTGCATGAAGACATTAATCGTAATATTATGGAATGTTCAATATTCATGCTTGATAACCAGATATATACAACCACAGTTAGAATTTGTTCAGACAGGTTGGTGATGTTGGTATATGTTAGCCTAGAGAAAGTAAGTGATCTTAAGATGTGATGGGAGACGTCTCCTATGCCAAACTTAGTAACAATTGACCAATGTTATAGATGAAAGCTAAACAAAGTGTATTTGTGATCATTTCAGTCTACATCTATGTAAAATAGCAAACTAGATGGGTATTCTTAGTAAATCCTCACATTTCAAATCAAGAAATTACCAGCACGTGAAAAATGGGATTAGGGAAGGAAGTGATTCTAGAATAGTCTTTCAGTTTTCCACTTTAATAGATGGTCACCAAAAACAAAACCTGAAATCATTTCATATATTTCAATTTTTCTGTAACACAATCAAGGAAAATATTTGTTCAAAAAAGGAGTACATATTTATTTCTAATTTCAAACAGCCTTTCAGATTTTATATGCTTTGAAATGCAAGCATAGCTTTAAAGCATCAAAATGACTAATTAGAAATGAATAATAATGTAGACAGTCCTAGAAGGCAACTGTAGGCATGTTAATTGGAAATCAGAATTATGAGATAATGCTAATAGCAGTGTAGAAAAATTACATTAAAAATAAAAGCACCACCAAAGCGTTGATGACCCCCCTATCCTTGATGGAGTCTCATTTTAAACATTGCCTCCACAGAGAATCAGCAGTACCTTCTGGTAGACTCTGAATGTGTCACCCTTGATGAAGGAGTGTAGAGACTTTCCATAGATCCTCTTGAAGTTGGTCCCAATGTCCAGCATATCAATATCCACTTGAGAAACCATCACTGTGATTAGAGTGTTGTCATCGGTGCCTAGGCCCTTCATTGATTTATAAAGCCTTTCATCAAAGTATGCAAATTTATTCCTCATGCACTTCACTATCGTCAGAAGACCATCTTCAAAACTTCCAGAGGCTTCCAATTTAACACTCTGTTCAATATCTTCCTGTGATAGCCTTTTGTATTCATCAAACACATGCAGCAGATGATGCCGTTTCCGGCAACAGAGAACAGTTAGAAATTTCACCTTATCTGTCCCCCCTTTTTTCCTTCCAGCCTCATACAGGTCCTGGGCATCTTGTTTCATGAGTTTATCATCCAGGTGATTTCCTTCGTCCCTGCCACCAGCTGACAGAGACACAGCATTCTCTGGAACATGAAGGATGTGGCAGAGCAAATATCATCCTCAAGGCTCCATCCGTCCGAATGGCAGCTGGTATGTCTCTTTGATGTGCTGGATCTTCTCAGGGGGCCGGGAGGCCAGGATTTCAATCAATCAGCCCTCATCTGTGCCAGGTCCCTTCGTGACCCTCCTCATCTCCTGCGCATCATACAGCACAGTGGGCACCATCATCCCCAGGATTACTTGCTCAAAGTTGCCACTCAGTTCTGACTTCAAGGCGTGTAACAGGTCCCTGCCGACGTTGGTCTTGTAGGCTGTCCTGGCTTCCTGGCTCTGGGCGGTGTTGTGGTAGGCTCGAACATTAATGATGCCATATTTGTAGGTGCGGAGCCCTTTCATGGCCTTCCTCAGGCACTGGGCATCTTCAATGGCGTTGAATCCTAAAGCAGCTTTGACAGTGCCTCTCTTGGATGCCAGGACCGTACACTATGTCAAGAGCAGAGTTCAGTCACCCAAGCAGAAGTTCCTTGCTCAGGAATGGAGATCCAGAGCTTCGCTGGTCCTGAGGCCGTGGAGGTCACCTCTTCTGTCATGCTTGGAGCTTTGCTAGTTTGTAAGCTCTGTGAAAACAGGATAACTTTAAAAAAAAAAAACTAATGCCTGACCAGAATGGCTATTAAAGTAATATTGGAAGTGGATTTTTAAAAAACACAACAAAAACTCAATGAAAGACAAAGAATATTATTGTCTGGAAGGTGAATGAGTAGATTGGAAGGTACAACACTTGGCTGCAACCACGGAAACATGCCAGTGATTATGAAGATCCTTCACGAGTGGGCAATGTTTTGTTTTGCTTTACATAGTTTACAATGTTTCATTTTGCACTAAGTCTGTTCAGAGCTGATGGCAGCCACCAACCATGATACCGCTGCTGAAAAGCGTCCAATGCCTCCATCCCTACAATCTAGGTTTGGACTTCCTCTTCAGTGTCCCGTTCCACCCTTGAGTTCCCTCTCAGAGACTTTTATCAAGCCCAGTTACCTGTCTGAATGTGACCTTCCTGAAGACAGAAGCTGTGGATTCTTTTCCACTTTCTGTCACGCAGTTTGTCACCAAAAGTCAAGTGACACATTTGCGGTGGAAGAAGAAAGGGGAAAAATGAAAGAGGGAAGAAAAAGAGGACAGGCGGAAGGAGCAGATGGAGGGAAGAATGCATTTACAAGCTGAAACATGAGATTTCAGAACCAATACAGGAAGAAAGTATAGCACAACTTTCAGAAGCTGTTTGAGACTGTGATAACAGATAAAGTTAAGATTGTTAAAATTAAATTCTATGTTCTCTACATATTAAAATTCATTATTGCAGAGGAATTGTGAACGCTTCAGTGAAAGCTAAAAAGAATCAGTAGAGATTTCTGCATAATTCTCTTATAATTACTCTGTTGCTCATAACTGCGTAAGAGCTTGAAGCTAAGAAGCAGGTAAGAGCTTTGAAAGGAATTAAAAACAAATTGGAGGTCAGAAACTTGCCTGGAAGGCAGAATCACCCATAAATGTTATATTTAATCAGAGTTAAGTAGTCTTATACAATTTGATTTAGTTGTTAAAATCTTTTTTAAAATAGCTATTTTTGAAACAATAAATGATAGCATGAATGTAAGATTAATGTTCTCCCATGTAAACGATCACATCATTCATAATAAAACATTTTTTTTAAAAGCTCTTTTGTCATATCTACTTTTCAATTATCTTTTTAATCAAATATGATGTCAATGAGTATTGTCTTAGTTTTCTAGAGCTGCTATAACATGAATAGTAAAAGTAGATGGTTTTAACAAAGAGAAACTTATTTTTTCATACTTTACAAAGCTGTTGTTGTCAGGTGCCATCGTGTTGGTTCTGATTCATTGCGCCCTTATGCACAACTGAACGAAACACTGTCTGGTCCAGCCCCAACCTCACAATTGTTCCTACGCTTGAGTCCTTTGTTGCTGCCACTATACCAGTTCATCTTGTTGAGGGTCTTCCTCGTTTTTGCTGACCTTCCATTTAACCAGCATAATATCCTTCTCCAGGGACTGGTCCCTCTTAATAATATGTCCGAAGTATGAGAGAAGAAGTCTGGCCATCATGGCTTCTAAGGAGCGTTCTGGCTGTATTTCTTCCAACACAGATCTGTTTGTTTAGATGTCCAAATTCAGGAGGGGTTTTCTCCCTCTGTCCACTTTGGAAGAAGGTTTTGTCTCTTCTGGGCAATCTTCTTATGACTTGACATCTCTCTTCCCCCCTCTCTGCTAACTTATTGCTTGTTTCATCTCTTTTATATCTCAAAAGAGATGGAATCAGAGCATATCTCTGCTAACCCTGCCTCACTAACATAACAAAGACAACTCATTTTCACATGGAATTATAACCACAGGCATAAGACATAGAATACATATTTAAGGGGGAACACAATTCAATCTATAACAGACCCCCAATATTGCATAGGGGTCATAGGTTAGCCCAAGCTTTAATTGCTCCTCATTTGCAATGTTCTCTTCTTCCCACCCGACACTGATAATACTTTCCATTATGATAATGTGTCATTCTTCCCCAGCATCTAGACTGTTAAACCTGTTTTTGTTACTGCCTTGTGCTTCAGAGGCATTTAAAGTTTAGGAGGATTATGCTAATTTCCTGGTAGACAAAATGTGAGGTGTGGTTTCGGAATTAAAGATACTTTCTGAGATACCGAATTTTGTATCCACTTGGCACAATACATGGCAGCCTAAGATTGCTATATAGCTCCACTTAACTTTGAAATGTGTTTTTTAAAAGGTGATGCCAAGGGTGTCCCAATCAGTCTCCTCCATGCCATTGGCTCTGCAATGACATCATTTATGGAGAAACCTTGAATCCTTCCCGACATCTTCACAGGATCTAAATTCTCAGGAGTGTTGTGGTTCTCCATTGAAATGTTCCTTTTCTTTCTTCTAAGAGTATGTGGCCTTTTATCATGTATGCCATTGAACACATTGCCAGAAATGGTTGATTTCCTTCTCTTTCACTGGATAACACCTTGTCTACTGCTTTCTGGAAGACTCGAGAGTGGAGATTTCTTCTTGTGCTCCTTTATTATTCTTCTCATTCTCTTATCATTGAATCTATTAATTTAAAATTGTCTAGTCAAACCACTACTGGTCTGTCTGTTTGTCATACTATAGTGACTTTTGTGTTGCTGTTATACTCAAAGCTATGACACTGGTGTTTCAACTACCAGCAGGGTCACCCATGGTCCACAGGTTTCAGTGGAGCTTCCAGACTAAGACAGAGAAGAAAGAAGAATCTGGGACCAACTTCTGAAAACATTGCCCAGTGAACACTTTATAAGTAGCAATGGAACACTGTCTGCAATAGTGACAGAAGATGAGTCCTTGAGGTTGGAAGGCAATCAAAATATGACTGAGGAAGAGCTGCCTCTTCAATGTAGAGTCAACCTGAATGACATGGATAGAGTACAGCTTTGGGGACCTTCATTTTCTGATGTGACATAACTCAAAATGTGAAGAAACAGCTGCAAACGTTCATTAATGAGAACATGAAAGTATGAAGTATGAAACCAGGAAAGTTGGAAGTTATCAAAAATGAAATGGAATGCATGAAGATTGATATTCTGGTCAGTAGTAAGTTGAAATGAATAGGTATTCATAATTTCATTTTGAATTGGATAATCATATGTTCTACTATGTCAGGAATGACAAATTGAAAA